TGATCTCACTTTTGTATCTCTGCGAAAATGTGCTGAATTCAGTTATCCCAACACTCAACCTGCTCTCTGTGGAAGAAAGATCTGTGGAAAGCTCACCTTCTTCAGTCACATTAATTTCCATTGCATAATTTAGAACTCTGATGATTCTTCACTTATTTGCCTCACATGTATATTGTTAGATAAAATAGAGCCTCAGCTGCCTGAAATCATATTAGAACAGCTTCTATCTACAGCGGAGCAGGTACCGCAGATGAAGCTTGGGTGGGCTCCTACTCTAGGGTTGAGCGAGGCGGAGAGGCGCCGTCGCTTATTTTTTCGGAAAACCGAGCGACGAAAATAATTGTTGGGACATTTGCCGAGCTGCCGAGCACGCGCGCCAATAATTTGTGCCAGTCGCCTAGGGACGGTGAGCCTTTCGAAAGATTACGCAAATTCTGCTGACATAGACACAAATCCCGCTGACGTAGTATATATAAACGGTAATTACAAGATAGCCGATAATCACCCAACCCGATAATCCGCTTGAGAAAGCTCCCGTCCCTTAGGCGCTGGTCAGGAGTCTGGACGGTGAGCCTTTCGAAAGATTACGCAGATTCTGCTGACATAGACACAAATCCCGCTGACGTAGTATATATAAACGGTAATTACAAGATAGCCGATAATCACCCAACCCGATAATCCGCTTGAGAAAGCTCCCGTCCCTTAGGCGCTGGTCAGGAGTCTGCTTTGTACCCGCATTACTGTGATGGCACCCTCGTTTATAAGTTTTCCCTGCTTTATTAATTTGCTTTTGCTACTTCAATCTGCCTCCGGAGGTGCTGGGAATATTTTTTAAGATAGCTCTGTATTCATGCTATAATATGATACCCATATCATGACAGACATAAGGTGAAAGACGGTAAGGTATTTTTGTAGATGCTCAGAAGCGGTCTAAAACTGGCTGAAACATGCTACTGATAGCTAGATCCAACCAGATCTCGCTCACCAAATATTCTTGCGACCACATTTATGAACTTGTGCACTTTCACTGAGCCTGGTAGGCTGGTATATTTTGTTTTAAAAGTGCTAGGTACATGCACAGAGAAGGAACAGTTGTGGAGCGTTACAATGAACGGGCAAGGTGTGATGAAAAATGTCACTCCGCCTGATCTCAGACACGGCAGGCAACGAGGGCATCTGGTGTGACACTAGTGTGACGAAATTAATAAACGAGGGAGCAGGTCCCATTTTGCGCACCGGAATCGATCCGCAGCTCTTGCAAGACCTCAATAAAATACAAAAAAATGCGAATACATAGTCAAGGTGTGCGCACATCGATTTATGCAAAACCGCTCACGAAGAGGGGTTGTGGTAAGCTACAAGAAGCAGATTTGCTCAATTTTTATAAACCAGGGTGCCATCATAGTAGGACCTGAAAGTGGCCCCGGGCTCGCCGCATTAGGATTGGATATGCAGGGAGTCTGTCAGCGCGAGGAGCGCCACTAGTAATGTGCCCTGTCAATCGCCCACGCCGTTCGTATTTTTCGTGAGTGACAATGAATATAAGCGCTGTGGCAGTACCAAATCATCCCAGAGGTCAGGTAGACATGTAAACAAAGAGCTCACACGACGTGACAGAGTCAACGGGATTTACTCGAAAACACCTCTGACTTTCAGCAGCTCAACACCTTCCTGAACATCCTCACCCAGTCGATAGCTATTGACGTAGTCAAGCTGCTGGGACGCTGATATGCCATCTGCCGTGAGTCCGCCTGGTCCCATTCCATCCTGTATTTTTCCGGCCTCCAGGGACTGGTCCCAAATCTTTTGAGAGCGAGGTCTTCGAAGCTCGTCATAGACCTTCAGTACCTCCTGTGAAATCCAGAAGTGAACACGCAGAGCAGTCAGAATCGGTGTCCCTACTACGAACCTCCACATTTTGTGGGCTTGTCTGAGGATTGCTGAGCAGCTGTGCCAAAAGCCACCCATCCTCGACACCTTGTCCAGCTCCGGCATACAGGTAAGGCAGCATACCGTGTGCCTAGCACCTTCAGTCAGTTACCATTGATACACATACACGCCAGAGTTGCCTACCGCATCCCCGAGCAGCGCCACCTTGCCTCGCACGTACGTCTTTAGGTGTGGGTACACGACACTGATATACCACTTGTTTGGCTTGTCGATGCACCCAAGCACAGCACGGATGTTGCTGCCGAAGTCGGCGTATTGTTCCGTCAGCTCTTGGTTAGAGACGGCTTCCACTGAGGGCTGCTCTGGGCCCCGAGCGATGCTAGTATGCCCAACTGGCACATCATACTGCGTCACGAAGGCAGCGATGTTGATCTTAAACAACGCCAGCATCAGGAGAAGTCGACCGCTTGAGCATCACAGAAGAGACGCAGACTCACCACCGCGCCCTTAGAGATTGGGTATATCACTATACGCTGCAGATTTCATTATTTAAGCGTCACTAACTGGAGGCTCTGACCGCCTCTCACCTTGCCAACACCGATACACTTTGACGGAATGTCCCAGAAGCTCGTGTCCACGCCCCGTACGGCAGCTTGCTCTCGCGTGACAAGCCCGCGATAACAAACCGTGTTGCTGAATAACAGCGTCTCCTTCGCACCCAGGCCTGTGACTACGCTGCGAAGTGACGACTTCACCCCATCCGCGATCAGCACGACGTCTGCCTCTGCGGCAGCCCCGTCCTCAAACGTGATCACGGATTGATCGGTCTTGCACTCCGCTGTTGTAACCGCGACTGCGCGTTTGTTGAAGTGAGTGTATGCTGGGTCGATGTGCTTGACTAGTGCTTCGAGAAGCGCTGCTCTATCGGCGTGTCAACAAGGCAAGGCTCTAGCATAGAAGTCGTACGCGCCTGTGGATAGCGGCACCATATTCCTCAGGTGGCATTGACGTCTGTCGCGTCAAATGATCTGACAGCTGCATAAACACGGACGACTTAGAAACAACCTACGGTATATAGCTCTTCATGCCCTTCGGCACCTGATACGAAGCGAAAGCCGCGTATGTTGAGACGTCCGGGCTCCGCTGTGTTCGCGAGGATGTCGTCGTAAGATCCAAGCTCGCGCATGATAGCAAGCGCATTGCAGCCTAAAGGATCAGCACGGTCAGCTAACTCGGTGGAAAGGTTTTGGACTAAGCAATATACCCAATCCGATTCCAGCACCGATCTCGCCGAGCTTGGCCTGCAACATACTGAATCGGCAAGAGGTCTTCGGAAGATGACGACGAGGAGCACACACCCTAGCCTCATAGATATGCGCATTGATGCCCTTCTGGGCCAGGGCAGCCGCGCAAGTAAGCCCGCAGATACCGCCGCCAATGATAGCAATCTGTACGTCAGATTGTACAGCCATGCTGCCTTGTCAAGGATGAGCTCGAATTTCTACGATCATCCTCACGTTCGCTTTCCATATTATATATGTCCTGCGCGGCGCCCGGGACAACGGCAGATGCTTGTCATGTAGCGTAGTCAGCTCCGTGAACTGGAAACCATAAACCAGACAAGAAATGGCTGAGACGGATGGAAGTGAGATGGGCGAGCCGGTCCCAAGCCGTCTAAGTAGTAGTCTAGTACTGCGGGCTGCTCCTCCACTGGATCGCACCGCGCTCGGTGCATAAGCAGGAATGTCAATAGTTGAATTGCAACGCCCCGCTAGGACCGTTGTACGTATGAGTCGTTAGCAGCTAAGCCGGCAGGGGGCGCCTAATTAGGTTGACCTAGGACCTGTTGCGGCTCGAATTTCAGATTAGCCGCCACACACCTGGCAAAAGCGCAAGTTGAAGTATAGTTTTACATAAGCACCTGCCTTAGACCTCTGCTAATCACGTTCAAGATTCTTTTTCAGTGGATTGCGCAGTTCAATCCGTATCATGTGCGTGATTCCTCGCCAGCAAAGAGGCGGACGACGAGGCGCGCCACTGCTCACCGGCAGACAGACCAACGAACCTTCGTGGCGTTGGTCTTCCGCATGAGCTGCGAGTGGTGCTTGGGCATGAGTCGTGCTGGACTCTATTGTCGCAGGATACTTAGTCGCGGTGCTCTTGATGTGCGAAGCGGCGCTAAATAACAGCTCCCGTTCGACTACCAGGGACTGCCAGTGAGAGTTATGGTGTTCGATGAAAGCAGTATATGCCACGTATTGACAGGAGATTGAAAGTACGCTAATTTGGGAAGTACTGTAGAGGAGACGAAGCCAGAGTTTTGTCTGGTCAGGGTGACGGAAACGCTTGGTTTTGTTGGTGGACATGCAGTACAGGTTCTAGTCTGCAACCTCGAGTGATACCGCTGGCGCGCCCGCATCCCAACGTCGCGGGGGAGGAGTGGAATCGCTATTCAATGTGGGAGGTATAGGCGATGATGCAACGTGTAAACACCGAAAGTGCAGGACCAGATCTTTCAGCCTTCCTTTACTGAAGTATTAAAAATATTACTCTTCCTCGGCCAAGACGCTGCAACTTTCGACGAAAGCGAGTAAGGTCGATGTATTGTATCGATTAACATAGGGGAAAGCACAAGAAGAGTAGTTATATCTTGACGCCGTGGGGATAGTTTGCATACATAATGGGTACATAGTTGAGACTGAGAACGTGCACAGCCGTCGGTACCTGTCATGTCGACGACCATCTAGCGACAAAGTGAACCAACGTGAACAGTGCTAGGCATAGATTATCTCGCAAGATCAGAGGTCAACAAAGGCTGGAATCGGATGACAACCTTGGCTTCTTCGACGACATTCTTCCACCCGAAGTATCTTCAATATACGTCAGCATTGGATCCACCTCTCACGTAAAGCGGAGGACTCGCCTTGCATGCGCCCAAATCTCGATCTTCTTGCCTTCCTTAATCTTACTTACCTCGTCCGAGGTGGCACTCCACTCGTATCTGTATGTCTGCGTATTCGGATCACCAGCGCGGTTCTTCACAAGGTGGCGATCAGGGTCGAGCTTCTCCTCCGTACACATAGTGTACCACGTCCAAGAGTTCTTGGACGGGCCGCCCTCGAGTACCGGGAGCCACCCCTGGTCGTGGCCGCGAATGAGAAGAGACACGTGCATGATCCTGTCGCACTGCGCTTGGGTGAGGGGGACCGAAAGAACAAGAATGTCGTCGTCAACGACGACTCTCTTGCCACTGGTCTGGGAGATGGTGGGGAAGCACTCGGCGTATTTAAGGATCCTATCCACAACACGACTCGGAAGGATCTTCCTCAGCATGAACCGCGTGCGGACTGCGTCTGCACACGTCAAATCCGACTTGATCGCCGGAGCTGAAGCACAGAGTGCTTAGCTATGCAGCGCGTAAGGGGAGTTTGATGCACTACGCACGCGGGGCAATTGTAGGGCACCACGGCGGCGTGGCATCTATTCTTGTAGTAACGGATCCTTGGTACAGAGGAGCTGTAGGATGATCGCAAAGTCATAATGCGGACAGCCCGATGATGTTATCGATGACCTACAAGAGGGAGCCCTGAGCTCAGGACTTCCAATACACCCGGCGCCTCCTCTACGAGACTCGTAGTTTATAAAACCGACATGATTCGATGGGCTGGTGGCTCTCGAATATGACGGGCTGTACTCAATGATAGGCCGCACTGCGGTATAATATGCCAATTCTAGCGGATACCAACGAGATGCCGGAGTAAATGACTCACCAGGTTGAGGTGTAGTGCGACCCCCCGTCGACCTTGGCGACGGCGGAGAACCAAAGATGTGAAAAGGATTGAGCTGTGTTTTCAAATGCGTAAGACTATCTATCATGGTAGAGGAGAACGGGGATGGGGGTTAGACGTCAAGGTGGGCACTGGGCACGAGCGGGCGTCCCCTCGAGGAGGCGATGAACGGGGGTTCCCGTGGGAGAAACGGCGTTGCATTAACGGAACGCTGTGGATGACTACCGCTTCCATAGGTCCCTGTGCCACTGACACGCAGAGGCCTGAACTATGGCCCATCCGTCGAGAAATCAAACCTTCAGGCTCCTTCAGGCCTCAAGCTTCAAGCGTCATGCACCGCCCGATACCAATCTTCCGAGGTTGGCCCTGTACTGATTGACCACTCATTGTCAGACTACTCATACCGTCCAGCAGTTGCTTACCTCTTTGTTTTGATACTCCTAATAATACTAACCCGATTCCTGTAAATGACAACGTTTTCAAAACATTTGTATTGTGTAGCGCCCCCCGGCGCTGCTTACATAAACGCTGAGGGCTTCAATTTTCCACACAGTGTCAATGTTCAACAGAACTCTATCCACCAGGTGGCCTTCCAGCAAAACATGTTTTCGAAGATATTTATCATACTGTTGCTGGTGGTCAGGTCAATGGTGCAACTAGGCAACTCTTCGGTCAGATTTCGCAGGAACTACTCTTGACGTAGCGCGAGAGAAGGATCGCAGATATCTCCTTCACGGACTAGGTTTCTCGTGAGATGCTCACATGCTTTTACCGCCGCATTAATCTTTCGAAGACCTCTGGTGAGTGGTAGGCGCCATTAGTCTCACAGAAAACTAGCACGTTCATCGAGCATCTCTCCTCTTTCCCAGCACTCTTTGCTCCTCTCGAGCTGCGGATTTTCTGGATGCCGCCACGCCCTCGCGCTGTACCCCAGTCTCGTCCCTCCATTTCGTTGAGGCGTACGTTCTCTGTCTACCGGGCCCTGGCATCACGTTTAATAACACGCAGATCACGGAGAAACGGACGTGGATCCCGACTCCTCGATCCATGGTGGTGGAGAGGCGCAGTACTGGAGAGCACTCGCCGAGCTAACTCAGGTTGTCAGTAACAAACTCGACCAAGTATCTTCCAGGCTCGAGCAAGTATCTTCTGGGCTGTCCGAGCTCACGCGACTACAACAGTCTGCATCAGATGCCAGCAGCACCGGCTGGGGTCTCTTGGAGAAGACTGTTCGTGGCTACGATGAAGATGAAATAAAGTCACGCACCGATAACATTGATACCCTTCTTCTCTTTGTAAGTCCTCCCGTAGTTTCAGATCAATCAGTCGCTCAGACCGGTACGGCGTAGGCCGGCCTCTATGCAGCCATCTTGGCAGCTTTCAGCGTAGTCTCTCTTACCTTCCTCAAGCCAGACACTGGTCAGCAGACAGTCGCGCTATTGCAACAGCTTGTAAACGGGTCGTCCGATTTTACCAGCAATCCTGGACGACAGAGCGACGCAACTTCGGATGATGATGACTTCAAGCCCCCGGGCTGGGCTGTCCGCGTTAACGTCTTGTGGTTTGCGAGTCTCGTCATCAGCCTTTCCGCCGCATCTCTCGGAATCCTTGTCAGACAGTGGCTCGTGGAATCTCTTGCGCGAACCTACAAATCTCCACAGCAGCTCCTCCGTGCTCGACAATATCGCGATCCGGCAACGAGAAGATGGTTGGTCACCCACTTCGCGGATGCGTTACCCATGCTCTTGGAGTTTGCCCTTCTTCTCTTCTTCGCCGGACTCTGCGAATTCACGGCCGCTTTCAATCCCAGCGTCGGCCATACTACGTGGCCACTTGTCACCGGATGGGGATTCCTCCTATTCGCCTCATTCATACTCCCGTGTTTCTTTCCGCATTGCCCATACAAGACGAACTTTCTGTATGAAGTTGCATCGTTCATTCGCCGAGAACTCTATGCACCAACTATCAAAAAACTTTCGCGCAACGCGAACAAGACGTTTATTGCCGACATTGCCGAAGAAGCGGACGTGGTACAGTGGCGTAGCGTTGCGGATGATGTCAAGCTCATGCTCTACGCTGACTCCATCATACCTGAGACAGGCCTGGTAGAGACTATACTTGGCATCTACGAGCAAACTGGCCCTCATAAGCCCGTTAACACGCTGAAATTTTCGCTCACGCTGCTTTCCCATCGGATCGGACTCGACTTCGGTCGCCTCATCGAGGCCGAAACCTTACTTCACATCACCCAGCTGTCTCTCCCCGACTGGCAGCACTTGACCTCGCTGACCGCTAATGCCTTGGCTTCACCCGACAACTTTAAGGATGAAGAGGACGACGAGGATGAGCATATAGACATCCGCCCTTTCCGGCACGCTGCCTTCCGCTTCTTGGTATCGCCTACGAGACATGAGCTTTCCAGGGCTCCAGCAGAATTGATAAGCCTTTGCCTCAGCCGCAATAAATATCTCGTCTTCAAGGACGTTCTAGTGAAATTATCCGATTCCGGCGACCTAGGTCTTAGGGAGAGGATCGGGCTCATCCTGAGGTTGACTGGGCTTGCTTTGGGAGTCAAACTGCCGACACAGGAGTTAAAGAAGCTTCTGCCGCTCGAGTCGTTGGACCACAAATGCCGTGTTCAGGTGATGCGTGTCACCATGGAGGCGTTGCGCAAAACGCCTGAGTCTAGATCTAAGGCACCGCCCGACGGAATTCGTCGCAGAGTCAGGGACCAGGTCGAGCCCGTTGTCGATGCCATGATGGTCCTGCTCTCTGGATCGCCCAGAGCTCTATCCCCTGCCGACAAGGAGGTTATACAGACACTGAATGTTTCCACGACCGGCCTCTCAGTCGTTCTCACAGCCCTCGACGATTCTCTCCCGGATACTCTCGATATTGGAGAACGAGCTGTTCTCGCCGCTCGCAGTCTCCTCTCCCTCTATCTCCCACAAATGTCCCTTGACGCAGACGAGATTGTATCTTCCCTCGATCTCACTAATGTTCCCGAGGTCGTCCAGAGGCTCTTGATAGAGCGGCTCTCTGAAACCATGGAGAAAGAGTTCACGTCTATCACGTACACGGAGGCCGTTCCGTACTGGATCAAGGCTTGCCTTTTCCTCATGGTCTCAGTCTCGGATCGCCTACTGAAAGACAGAGAGAAGCGGTTGATCGCGAACGCCCTCCGATCTCCGTCCTGTTTGAGATTCCTGCTCGACAGGCCCATCGCGCACACGACCAACCATGGGTTTGGTGACCAGGTTGTCTCAGTCGTCCGGATCCTGAGCCATGTTGGATTTGATTCCTTACCGCGGATGGGCGCACGGAGACGCCTGTCCCGGATCCCCTCCCCCAGCGAGTTCGGACTTCACCCCGAAACGTATCGCGGTCTCGTGACATGGATAGCGGAGAGATGGGACGACTGGAAGAACAGGCATGCCGACAAAGCTGAAATCACCCAAGAGTCGTGGTGGGCGTTCGACGCGGTCACGTTTCTGCTCTCCAATGAACCGGCCTACGACCTTCCGCTGGCCGCCAATCAACTCCTTCGTGACTTCGCACTCAGCGGACGCTGTTTGGACTCGTTTTTCGGCGCACTCCAGTATCACCCCGCAGAGCGCTTTGCTATCTCAGCCCCGAACGGCGCACAAGACCGGGTCTCGTGGACCCAGACCATATGGGCGGCGTCGAGATTCATGAAGGCGATTCGTGCTACGAGCGGAGAGGACCGCATTGCATTGCTACCTGCATGGATGACTATCACCGGCAAGCTATACAACATCCTGCCGCCGCACGATCCTACCTGCTCGTCGAATAACGGGAACTGGACGACGACGCAGCAAGACGCGGTCTGCTTACTGTTGTCTCGGCTGGGCCCTCGCCCGCCTCCCGCGACGGAGAAGCTGATCAGGCACTTCATATCGGACGCGCACGTCCGGGGAGCGGTACTCGCCGCGCTCACGAACTATCGAGCTTTCCAGGAGCAGCCGGCCGACCTCATGTGGCTAGCATTGACTCTCACCAGATATATCCTTGGTAGGCAAAGCTCAATAGATTCGCTGGACGAGGTCCTCGACTTTGGAGCTGTCGATGAGGATCTTCGAGAGAGTCTAGCCAAGCTTGTCGCAGATGCTCTTGCCGAACGACACAGTTCCAGAGTGACGCAGACGCCCCCATGGGTTATCGACGCAGTCATCTTCCTGCTCTCGGTCCAAGAAGGGCGGCCCCAGATCGCAGGCCACGACGAAGGAAACAAACCGCCTCCGCCAGGTGTCCTCGCCCTCCGCGACTGCTTCTGCGGGCCCGCGACGGCCATTGCAACGGGCATACGTCTCCGCCGCTCGCCTTTCGTTCCCCTGGCGCACAAGCTTCTGCACGTGTGCGAGACTGGCATAGCCCTAAAGCACGCACTTGCGCTCTACATACCGTACCTCTGCGACAAGGTCGATAACAATAAGATTGACAACGCGGCGCATGCGCATCGGTCCCTTATTGACGTCTTGGAGAACACAGACTGCGAGACACATCTGAGCAAACGGGAGCGGCAGCGCGTCTCCGAAGATATCAGGAATCTACTGGAAAATTCTGCTAAGAGGACTCACCTGCCTTCCGGTGCTTGGCCAGATGTATCCGTCGAAGTCATAGTGACGCTGGGCCAGCTGGCGCTTTTCGCGCCGCGGTCGGTCACAATCAGGATTTTCACATCTATGTGGCAGGATCCCGATAGCTTCGGGCTCTTCTGGTTCTTTGCGGGGCTCCACGAGCAGGATCGGTTAGACGAAAAGTCCGAGGCCGGGCGACTGTGCAAGGAGGTTCTCGCTCAGGCGGACACCCACGGTACGCAGTGACGACATGCGCGTAGCTCTGGCTGATTATGATCCGCCTTTTTCAGAGGTGACAAAATGCTTGGAGCAGTCGTGCCGCAGGCTCAAAGCCTTGCTAGATGGGCAGAAGTACGGTCACCAGCTGCTCGGCCTTGGTCCTTTGGACTATGTCCGCCTCTGTCGCCTCTGCCTCCGCGCGTACCAAGACGCTGTTTCTCTGATGGCCAGCAGCCGTGCTTCTACGAGCAACGGACACGCGGTCCCCCCTGATGCCAACGCCAGTAGTTGGTGGACTCATCTTTGGACGCTTCTAGCCAAGTTAGTCGCCAAGTATGATAAAGATAAGGGCTGGAACGGTCTGCCGCGCGATAGTACGAACGAGAAAATAGAGCAGACCAAACGCCCGCAGCGGATCAGCCTGAGGAGCACTCTCCAATGTAAGCCAGCCCAGCTCAATTATTCATCCGTTATGCTAACCTCAAGCTCAGCGGCCGAAGCTGTCTCCCCTCAGCTCCATCTCCTTCAGCAGGACATTGCAATAGCGGGCGAGTGCATTTCTATGATTGACGTTTTGGAAGCTTGTGGCATTGATTTCCCGGACGAGTTACGAGTCGCGCTTGAGGACTTCTCGTCTCACCCGTTGTCACAGGATAGTTAGTAGCGAGGCTCCCGTCGATGTCAGAGCCAGTGTTGGATAATGTCGTTATGGCTCCCAATCGGCCCGAGGCCTTGGTTTTCCTACTCGATCGAGGTAGTATCTTAAAACAGTTAGGCCAGCACACTGCCTTCTGAAGCGCTACGCGTGTCATGGCTCCTGGGGCCTTGGAGCACTGTGGCTAAGGAGTATAAATGCTGAGAATAAAGATGATACAGCACTCGAGTATATTATATTGTGTCACGGCACTTACTGAGTGCGTACCTTTACTGGCAGGATCGCTCGCAGAACCACGCGAGAATGCTCTGAACTCCGACTTCCACATGATCACATATCTTGGAAATAGTGTTCGCCTATTTTACACATCTCAATGTGGCGAGTAGACAGGGCAGGTTGCAGGATATCACGATGCAGCATTTTTGAGCCATTTTCGACGCGTTGTGGCGCTTTCATTTATTTTCATTTGGATAAGTTCCACGACGACGAGAGCTCCCGCGGAACTATGTCAGAATAGCCGCCACGAAGTACCTTCAGTTGCTGACTCAAACGTACATGTCACTTCTCAAGTGCGCATACTCGGCTCGCATATACTCAAAAATTATGATAGGCGGGACCAGGCGAGAGTAGTGGCTAGTGACTAGTCGCAGCGGGTCCCTCATCTGGAAAAACGCAACGTGGTACATGGCTAACAGACCGGCCCATACCACTCGGACCACTGGACACATCCCCCAGAGCTGGACCATGCAGACCATCCACCATCAAATATGTACCAGTATATCTCGGCCTGGAGTAGACATACCACTATTAATGCCATCTATACTCACCTGCATGCGGCACATACATGTCTGTACTGCACTAGACCTAACCATACTGTAGCGAACGGCTTGTCCACGCTTTCCTAATCAGGTAACCGGTTCGCACAATGACCGTCGCAGCCATGATGGTAGAGGAAGATACATTGATTGCGGTACATAGATATAGATGACACTATTGTACACCATAAAAAGGTATCATGGATCCTCTGGACCATTCCCGGAACGGTGTTGCACTTGTCTTCATCATCAGTACTACAGAGGTTTCATATTGGCTGATGGTCACCATAATGGGTCTAACCTCGCGTGAGCTGTGTCTGCGGATACGACGGCGGTGGGTGTGCAATCCATGGCGGTGTGTACTGCGTACTGCAGGTCTTCATGTCTCAAAGACAACGTATAAACTATCATATATCAGCAGGGAGGCACATGCGTACAAGTGTGGTAATGTCTGAGCAAGATAGCTGACTGCCGTTGTAGACATTGGCAGCAGCCGCAACCACGTGTATCACACGGCAGGTGCGTGCATTGTGCCGAGACGTGGCTGGGGTGTACATGGATCGTGGATGCAGCGTGAGCTTCACACATGTGCCGAGAGCTGATACAACTACGACCACGGGTGCACCTCGCTCATTGACATGGTTTCACGCGAACGTACCTCTGTTTGTCAGGCAAGCTATACAATGATGATGAAGTAAAGACGCACCTTGAGCAACGAGACTCTGGTAGCTATACTTCTGAGCTTGTACCTTCAGCTTGTGTCCACTGCCTGCAGGCTGCCTGCACGACTGAAGCACAGCTTTCAAGACAGATAAAGAAGGCGACAGCTGCTTAGTGCTTACCATAGACCCACAAAATACCAGTGCTCTGTATATCTAGATAGATTCTTGCTGGTTACTCTTCAGAAGTCTGGTTGGTTGTTGACCGGGGGAAATCGGATGAGACTGTATGGAACATGACTGGACACAAGCGGTGAGATAGCATGGAGCTTCTTTCACTTGATAAAGAATATTTTCATGCTCAGTTGGCTGTGATGTCCAAAGCGCAGCGTGGATGGTTGCGGAGAGGAGATGAAGAAGGGCGAAGTGCGAGAGTAGCGAATGAACCGAGGCGACAGGCGGCAATATTATCACATTTAGGGCAGGCGATCATACACTTCACTCACCGTGGTGTTAGTTGTAGGTTGACCGAGTTAGACCCTTTTTTCGCCATATACATGCCAATAGCAATCTCATACCCTATTGTCTTCAGGATCACTCAAAGCACACACAATGAAACGGCCTGTAAAGCACAAGGAATTTTTGTTGCGATACAAAGCTGTCTGTACTGTCGTAAGTATGATCTCCTGCGTCTATACCATTGACTGACTGGTCTGTACCCTCCAGACCGCCCTGGGCCTTAGCACTATGGGACATATACCACTCTAGGTGCTCTCGATACCGCGTCCTTGCACATACCAGTCTGTGTAGCCCTGTAAAGCACAGACTACTAGTGGGCTGGTCTGGCAGAATGTGTTTTTCCAGATGTCGTTCCCATCCGCTCTTAACTCCGACGTGTAAACACCGTCGGCCAGTGCATCGGACTTTGAAAGCAAAGTGCACTGTGTGCGACGCTGCGCTGAATACTACTATAACAGCTCCTGTTCGACTATCAGCGAGTCCCGACTACCAGTGAGAGTTGTGATCTTCGACGAAGGCAGTACAGGCCACTTATTGACAGAGGACTGAAAGTACGCTAATTTGGGAAATACTGTAAAGGAGACGAAGTCAGATTATTGTCTGGTCAGGATGACGGAAACGCTTGGTTTTGTTGATGGACGTGTACAGGATCTAGTCCGCACCCTCGAGTGATACCGCTGGCGCGCCCGCATCCCTGCGCCGCAGGGGAGGGGAATTGCTGTTCAATTCAGGCGTAGGAGATGTTGTGTAAATACCGAAATTGCAGGACGCAGATCTTTCAGCCTTCCTCAACTGAAGCATAATTTTTTAAAAGCTTCCGAGTCCCTTCGGCCAAGACGCTGCGACTTTCGATAAAGCGAGTAAGGTAGATGTATTGTATATGTCAACATAGAGTAAAACACAAGAAAAGTGAGTTGTACCGTGATTCCATGGTGACAACTCGTCCATATAATGAATGAGTACATATTTCAAATCAAGATCGTGCGCAGCCGTCGTCACCTGTCACGACGACGGCTACCTAGTGATATAGTGAAACCAACGCGAGCATGATTAGGCGTGGACTATCTCGCAAGATCAGATGTTAACAAAGGTTGAAAGCGGATGGTGATCTTGGCCTCCTCGACGACATTCTTCCACCCGAAGTATCTTCAGCATACATCAGTACTGAGCTCGCTACGTACAGTGGGGAACACACCTCGCATGTGCCCAAATCTCGATCTTCCTGCCCTCCTTAATCTTACACACCTCGTCCGAAGTGACACTCCACTCGTATCTGTATGTCTGTGTATCTGGATCACCAGGGCGGTTCTTCACAAGTCGGCGATCAGGGTCGAGCTTCTCCTCTGTGCACATGGTGTACCACGTCCAGGAATTCTTGGACGGGCCGCCCTCAAGTACCGGGAGCCACCCCTGGTCGTGGCCGCGAATGAGAAGAGACACGTGCATGATCCTGTCGCACTGTGCCTGGCTGAGGGGAATAGAAAGAACAAGGATGTCATCGTCAACGACGACTCTCTTGCCGCTAGTTTGGGTGATGGTGGGGAAGCACTCGGCATATTTGAGGATCCTGTCCACGATACGACTCGGGAGAATCTTCCTCAGCATGAACCGCGTGCGGACTGCGTCTGCACATGTCAGATCCGACTTGACCACCGGAGCTAAAGCACAAAATGCTTAGCTATGCAGAGTGCAAGGGGGTTCAGTGCGCTACATACGCAGGGAAATCCCGGGACACCTCGGCGGCGGCAGGGTTTGGGGTCGTACACGCACCAGCGTTGATTCATCTATTCTGACAGTACGTGATATCCGACTTGGAGAAGCTACAGGAGAATCCCAGCTGATTTTACAACGTGGACGGTCTACTTCGAAGGTGTTATTAATTACTTACGAGAGGGAGTCCTGGACTCAGGACTTCCGGCTCGTCCAGCGCTTCGTTGAAACGGACTCCACGGCCTAGATCCTCTGGGAGACACGTAGCTTGTAACAACAGCACGGTCCGATGCGCTGATGGATCTCGTATACGACGAAGTATGCTTGAGAATGGGCCGCCCTGCGAGAGAAGATGTCAAGTCTGGTAGATGCCGATGAGATGCCCGAGTAGGTGACTCACCAGGCTGAGAGAGAATGCGCCTCCCCGTCGGCCTTGGAGATGGCTGGGAATCGAAAACGTGAAAGGGATTGAGCTGAGTTTTCCAGTGAGTAAGAGAATCTAACATGACAAAGGGGAACGGGGATGGGGGCAGACGTCAAGTTGGAACTGGGCACGAGGGGGCCCCTTGAGGAGGCGATGAACGGGGGTTCCCGTGGGAGAGAACGGCGTGACAACTGCATCAATGGAATGCTGTGGATAACTACCACCTGGAGCTTACGTATTTTAAAACTTATAAGCGTGACATACCCCCCCCTGTTTGCCACGCTAATTCGCGCAATTTGCGTAAGAGCCACTAGCACGCTGATATCTTTCTAAAATATACCAAGTATGCATTTGGAAGACCCCTCCTACGCCTGTAAGCCCCCCCGAGCGATATGCCCCGGGCGCTATCCTCCATCACGGTGATGGCTCCGTTATCTGAGCGTCATCCATCGGCCCCGCCACCAACACCGCCATCCCCTGATGGCACACACGGCGCCATCGCTCCCGCCTGCGTGCTCGCTGTGGGCGACGACGACGACGCTTCCCCCATGTATATACATCATTTTTATACCGTTTTTTCCCTGATTTTAAATGCAGTATATAGTACATGTTACTACTCTTAAAATACAAGCTACTCATTGCTAATAAGCCTAGTAATTGAAGCTCTCGGGCATGTAGGGCGCGCGAGGCTCGGGGACTTGGCTCCGGTCTGTTCCCCGCCGCGCGCGGTCGGGTGAACGCGG